TCATTATGGTGACTGATCAGGTAAGACGGGACTAAATTCATTAAGATAGATTTGTGTTGAGCTTAATTAAATAAGTAAAACTGAATCAACCCCTAAGCAACAAACACAACAACACATCTTTATGAATTAAGGTCAGAAAGCTCAAGAATAAAAGCAGCTGTTATTAAGCTGTTTCTGTCGGGAGGTTTTTATTAAGTTTCATTTAACCCAATTTGAATCCTTTAACAAGTTAGGAAGAAACAACAAAAGAGTGGAAAATCTAGGAAATACCGTAAACATTGACTGATGTATGAGACAAACCTGCAGGTGGCGCTGTGTTGTCATCAGAACCAGACTGAAAAGGAGGTCAGCTGTTGTGCAGAGGTTGATTGCTGCATGTGAGAACATCAGTGTGCTTTTCTGCCGTTATTTCCCTCTTTTTTTTTTATCCATCCTCCTCTAACGTTCCCTCTGACTCTTTTTGAATTGACTTCGGTCTCATGTCTTCATGCTTTGACATTGCCTCCACCTCCCAGCAACAAATAACCTTCCTTTTCCTGTACTTCACTCTTTCAGCTGCCATTGTTTTCAATCCTGTAGCAATTTATGTCGGAAAGCCTTTCATGCAGAAAACTGGCCTGGGCTAATGACTGCCTTCACCTTCATATCGTCTCCTCACCACAATAAATCGGTAATATAAACCTTTTGCATCATCAAATGAGAAAAAAAACAACTGAAATACCAATTTAGCCCAATATCTACAATATTTGTATGAATAGGAAGATGAAAACTTATCAGTGGTTCGTGGAAAAAAATAGACGGATAACTGGATGAATGAAGAAAGATATTTTAGTTGATGGATAAAGATGAGTAGATTCACGTAGGAATACAGATCTTGCAGACTGCTTAAAAAATATGGATTTGTTGCAATCACAGAAAATAGGGAGCAGCAAAGATGAAATTGTTCACTCCCCAAACCACAAGGGGGAGACAATTATCAGCCTTTATGAGAAAAGACCCTTAGTTATTTTAAAACAGCGCATGTTTCTCAATACATGTACTTGTGCGTTCTCATGTGCTCGTGTACTCGTGAAACGTCTTCAACCTCAGCCCTAACACTAAAACTCACAAGAACAGCACACCAAGAATGGACAAAGTCCCAGGATGTTGTTCTCGCCCCTCCCTCTTTACCCAGCATGCATCAGAGCAGACTTTGCAGCAGCAGCTTCTAATGAAGCTCTCACAGAGCTCAGAGAATTATGTTAAAAGTTCTCTTTTCTGTTGCTGTTGTTCAATAAAAGTACATTTTAAGATCATTTGAGGCGATAACATTATACTTT